AGCCGCAAGATAAAATTGCACAATCTTCGTATATTTCTTTTTTTTTTTTTTTGTGATTGTCTAAATCTCCTGTGAACTCGTTATATCTTATCGGCCAGCGTTCCGTACAAAAGTTCGATCAATACTTAACGAACACCAATAAGCAAGAAAAAAAAAATATATATATATATATGGTAAAACAAGAAACAAAAAATTGACAGTTTAGAAATTTCCCGACCAAACATAAAAAAGAGAAAATAAATAAATAGATAAAACGTTTAAATAATCAATAAATAAAAACGCAAATGTTGCACTATTTTCCAGTAGCCGGAAGTTAGCTACCATTCGAAACGGAAACGTGGTATATAATTCTTAAAAGTTTCTAAGCTATATTTTTTATTTGTTTATAATATCAGTGACTTTTATTTGCTTTCCTCGCATTTCTCTTCTTATATTTCAACTTTAAATATAATTTTAAAATTTCTATCCACACAAACGGACACTGTCATATAGCCTTTATATTTTTGCACCAAGATTAATAATTCTCAAAAAGATTAATTCCTTTATACGTAATTCCATATATATATATATATATATATATATATATATATATATATATATATATATATATATATATATATATAAATAGAAAAGAACAGTAAGATATATAATCCGGTGTTCTTACAGATATTTTTATTAAGACAAAATAGTGCTCGATGTAAATTTACAGAGCATTAATATTATAAATTAATTGATTTAAAAATCATAAAATTTAAATATATAATTATATATATATATATATATATATATATATATATATATATATATATATATATAACTTTTTATGGTAACAGCTAGAGCAATAGGTTAAAGAAAAAGGGACGTAAGTTGTTTACTATATATAACAGTAAAATTGTAATTTTTTAATTTTAATTTTTACAAAATAATGCTCAATGTAAATTTACAGTGCATTAAATTAAGTGATTTAAAATAAGTTAGTTTCATTTCATCCTCAAGCGAATTTTGTAGTAACTTATTTTTTTAAAAATTTGCTGTGTTTTAACTGCAAGGGAAATTCACAATTTACGGTTACCAAGGATACAGAAATCCATTCATCCAGAAAAGGGGTGGTAGCGTGTTCATTTTATTAATTTTGTTCTATCAGTTATTTGTTACGTTATTTCTTATTTGTTTTGCGTGTATATATATATATATATATATATATATATATATATATATAAAGAAATATAGTCTTAAGGTGTGCTATATTTATGGGATAAAGTGCTCAATATCAGAGATAGAGCGTGTGTAAATATAAAAGTGAACATAGAAGTCAACACTTAGAGGCGACAGTCTGTTTCATGCTATATGCAATCGTCAGGCCACGTGTGCTGTTATTTTTCTCGGCTATTTATATATATACGGGTTAGTGGTGCATTGTGGGTATTCTATTATGGCGGTTATTTTTACCGGAAGTCGCTTTGTTCATTTATTTGGGTCAAGTTATATTGCTCGTTTTTATTTATTTTTTATTTTATTTTATTTATTTATTTATTTTTTTTGTTTCTTATTTTATTTATTTATTTATTAACGTAGTAAAAATTTGTTTATATCACGTATTTAACAGTTTTGTTTTGGTTTGAGAATTTAATTAAAGCTATTTGTTCAATTTTTTAGGTTGGTTGTTTGTAGTTCATTCTAACTATTATTTTTTTTGCAGGGAACAGTTTTTTAATTTGGGATTGGTTTACCTATTTATTTACTTGGATGAATTTAGGTCAATTTATTTTTATATTTTCTCTTTTTGGTTTTCGGTTTTTAAGCAACATAGTACTTATTTATTTATTTTATTTATTTATTTATTTTTTTTTTTTTTTTATTTATTTTTTTTTTTTATTATTATTGTATTTGTTTTTATTTTATTTTTTCCGTTTTTCATTTTTTAGGTTACGTAGTAAAAATTTATTTTCATGCCTGCATTTTGAGATGAGCTCGGATCTATATATAGATGAGCTCGGATTTATATATATATATATATATATATATATATATATATATATATATTAAGATGTATAGTTATAAGCTGTGCTATATTTATGGGATGAAGTGCTCAGTATCAGAGACAGAGCGTATTTAAAATAAAAGTTAACAGTGAAATCAACATTCAGCCGTGGCAGACTGTTTCATGCTAAACGCAATCGTCAGCGATCGGGGATTTAAATTTGTAATTTACGTTAATCTTAACGGACTTAAATTTAAATTCCCCCTCAAAATAAAAAAATGCATTTACTGTGAATCCCAGAAAAAACACACTTCAGGGCCGTTATAAGAAACACTTCATAGTAGAAACTGTTATTAAACTACAAACAAAATCCCTGGCCTTAAATAAACACCAAACCCAGACCGCTTCCTTACGGCCCAACAATCGCTAAAACAAACCCACTCTCATTAAGAAGGCACCGACTAGAGGAAGACAGGTTTTGAAAATAAAGTTTAGAACGATGCTCCGAGACAAGCACTTAGGGGCTGACGATAGCCGTGTGAAGAACGGTTTGAAATAGACTGTACCTACTTTGAGGTAATGTTTTGCTTTTTGCAGGAAAAAATACAAATGCAGTGTAACCCGGATGTAAGAGAGTTGTCGGGACCGGAGAAGAAGTCTCTTATATCCGGGTTTCTCTTATATCCGGGTTTGGTCTAATTTATATACATTAACACAGGCTCTAATTTGGGATTAGAGATAATCTCTCTTATATCCGGGTTTCTCTTATATCCGGGTCTCTTATATCCGGTTTACACTGTACTCTGTTAAAATAAAAACATTGAGCTCGCCGTGGACCAGTCTTAATAATTATTATTACTAGGATCCACCCGGATTATACATAAAACAGATCGATTTCCTATACTCTCTCTCTCTCTCTCTCTATATATATATATATATATATATATATATATATATATATATATATAAATAAAAGAAAGAACAGTAAGATATAAAATCCGGTGTTCTTATAGATATTTTATTTTACAAAATACTGCTCAATGTAAATTTACAGAGCATTAATATTATAAATTAATTGATTTAAAATATGGTTATTTTTTCGCTACACAGTTCAACCATGTTTCAAAAATAGAAGCTAAAACTCCTAATTTTATTTTTGCAATTAAATTAAAAGCATTAGTTCCATTTTCATCTTCAAGCGAATTTTGGAGTAACTTTTAAAAATTACCGGGTTTTAAAGACACAAGTTTCAGTGTAAAATACATCCCTACCCCTTACCAAATTGTAGCTAATAACTGATACAATGATACTGTCATAAGGAAAATCTAGACACCCTTGTTCAATTTGAGTAGAATATTCTGTAACCATGGAACGTGATTTTAGCTGTGTCTTTAAAACCCGTAATTTTAAAAGTTACTCAAAATTCGCTTGAAGATGAAATGGAACTAATGTTAATTTTATTGCAAAAATAAAATTAGAGTTTTAGTTTATTTTTGAAACATGGTTGGAACTGTGTGTGAAAATAACCATATTTTAAATCAATTAATTTATAATATATATATATATATATATATATATATATATATATATATATATATATATATAAACTGAAATCGCATGAGAAAATGTATAAAAACTAAATAAAAGGACCTTGTCGTATTCAATGAAATGTGCATGAAAGAAGGATTGCTGCCTAAATACACAAATACATGCATATATATATATATATATATATATATATATATATATATATATATATATATATATATATACAGGGTGCCCATAGATTTCGTGTGCACTTTAAAAAATGTACAACTTTATTTGTATTTGCAATTGAAATAATCTGTAAAATTTTGATGAACCTAGTTTTAAGTATAGTTAAAATAACTAATGTGATTTCAGGCATTACTGTAAGTCAGTTGGCAAATGTTTTCCATGAACTGCAAAATCGTATTACTCTTTGTCTTGTTAATGATGGAGGACGTGTGGAAACTTAAATAAAATTTCAGCAAAACCTTAAAGAATATAGATTTGCTTCTTTCTAATCCTTTTTACAGATTATTTCTGTCGCAAATACAATAAAGTTATAATTTTTTAAAGTGCACACGAAATTTATGGACACACTCTACACACACACACACACATATATATATATATATATATATATATATATATATATATATATATATATATATATATATATTATGTATTTCATCCCAAGCAAGTCATGAGTGTCACTAATACCGGGCTACAGAGAAAAGAAATTAGGGGAAAAATAAAAATGTCTATGGGTTGATTGCAGAAAGATTTTAAAATACGAACGGGGATCAAGGCAATAGATGCCGATTGACATCAGATTTAAAGTTTTGAAGATTATAGTAATAAGGGAAGCAAGTAAGAGGAAGGGAGTTACACTGTCGGGAAGTGCGAGCAAAGAAGCCGTTGGAGTAGAAGAGGTGGTTACATTTAACTGGTTCAGCAGTAAAAGAGTGGTGCTGATATTTCAAACTAGTAGCACGCTTAAATTCATGCAGTTTGGGTACTGATGAAAATATCTCGTCAAAGCAGTTGCCATGAAAATATTTGTAGAAAAGACACAGGGAAGCCACATTGCGTCGGTGAGAAAGTGTCTGGAGTTAAGGCCCCAAGTAAGGATTGATCACATTGTATATCCAATTTGGGACCTTGTCGAGAACCTCGAGATGAACAACGGGGACACCAGACCATATATGGCTACAGTATTCCATGCATGGACGAATGGTAGATTGATAGATAAGAAGGAGGGACTCATACAAGAAAAACCTTCGTGCAAGATAAAGAGAACTAATTTTATTTGCGGTAGATTCAGTTATTGATTCAATGTAGTTGAGGGATATAATATCAAGATAAAATAGCATTTTTTTCTTCATTTAATTATGTTATTATAATATGTTTCATGCACTGAAATGTTTAAAAATGGTTGTGTGTTTATTTGGTGCGTTCGTGTATTTCTCACTATGTCAACAATTTTACTAAAACTTTAGTCCAATAGAAAGAAAGAAAAAGGAAAGTAAGAAAAGTGAAATACAGTAAGAGTTGGCACAGAGGAAGAAAAAAAAAGGATTTTTAAAATGAAAAGAAGACACTGTTGCCAAAAAGAAAGAAAGAAAGAAAGAAAGAAAGAAAGAAAGAAAGAAAAGTGAATTACGGAAAGATTTGTCTCAGAAGAAAAAAGGTTTATAAAAAGAAAAAAAGACACTGTTGCCGAAAGACTGAATGCACGAAAGAAAGAAAGAAAGAAAGAAAGAAAGAAAGAAAAGAAAGAAAGAAAAAGGAAACGTAAAGAATGGATTAAGAAAGAAAAGGCAAGAAAAAAGGAAGCGTAAGGAAAAGATTAAGAATGAAAGAAAGAAAAGGAAAAAAGGACACGTGAGGAATAGATTAAGAAAGAAAGAAAGAAAGAAAGAAAGAAAGAAAGAAAGAAGGAAAGAAAGAAAAGGAAAGAAAAAGGAAACATATGGGATATATTTTAAAGAAAGAAAGAAAGAAAGAAAGAAAGAAAGAAAGAAAGAAAGGAAGAAAGAAAATTTTTGGAAGAGAAAAAAAAGAAGGCATAAAGAGTGAGGGGAAATAACCCATTCTAAAAGAAAATATAGAAAAAATAAATAAAGCATGGAAAAGTTGAAAGAACTGTTAAAGAAAGAAAATAGTTCTAATAGAAGAAGAAGAAGAAGAAGAAGAAGAAGAAGAAGAAGAAGCTGAAGAGGAGGAAGAGGAAGAGAAAGAAGAGGCGAATGAGGAATGAAGCTGCTGTTGAGCTTCAGAAGTGACAAATGAAACGTAATACTAAACAATATACACCCGCTAAAATTACTAATGGTCTTATCCAGAGTGGAAGAGAGGAAGAAGTGAATCCAGTTGGGGTCAACAAGTTCAAAAGTAGGATGAACGACCCTGGTGACCCTTCACCAAATTGGAGTCAACTGCACAAGTGACGCTGTGATAGCAAGATTTCCGGAGATACCCATTGGGCAACGCCGAATGCAAAACAGGTCAGGGGTTATCCGGGTTCGGGCCACGATGCTTGGGGCAAACAGGTCTTCACACGGCGTGACGCCCTTACGATAAACCCATTAATTTCAAGAGTTTGTAGTTTACAGTTATTAGCTTTATAAATCAGTTCAAAGATGATTCTGGCTGCTTTTCACCCTTCTAGTATTCGATGCTTAAATGCACATGCACTTATGCTTATATATATATATATATATATATATATATATATATATATATATATATATATATATATTAAAGTATGCATGTATGGGTGTGTAGGTACACCCAGAGAAAAGCGATACCTAATGTTTAAAATGAATTCCTTAACATGAAAAATCTTGCTTGAAGCTTTCATTTTAGATCTAATTCAAAGCTAAGAAATTAACTGTACTATTCCTTGTATTCAGGATAGTCAAATCCAAGAGAGACTTTAATATTCCCTGTATTCAAAATAGTCAAAACTAAATCGACAAATTCGTTCATTTTGAGACATTTATAAACACAAGTTAGTTCTCCGTTTTAAAAATCTATCAAAAATAAATTATAGTTGAAACGTTATTTGAGGAAAATGAATAAATGTAAAGTTTAATTAATATAATTAGAAACAAATATTACTTTTAGCGTAAAACATGCTAGAAAAATACATCTCAATCACAAAAGACTTTTTTTCTGACTTGTCAGCCTAACGTTGGGAAAATTTAAATAAAGATTAACAGAAGTAACATAAATTTAAAATGCCCAAGCGAGTTTTCTTTAAGGTAGAAAATCCCTTTAAAATGCTTCGATTTTTAATTAAAAGTTGTGTATGGACAACCGTATCTACAAAAATAGGCATGTTTATACAATAAAAGATAGTTTTAAAATATGAGGAATCGATGAATTGTAGTAAGCTTTTCCAATAATGATTAGTAAATATAGTCTTTTATGAAATAACAATATCACGTGACAGATAACAATTAATACAGAATTTTTAAAGATTTAAATTTTACACATTATTATAATAAAAAATTTAAAAGCATCAAAACAATTCTTGTACATTGATTACATTATTCGGAATACTGTCCTCATCTTTGTTGCCATATTTATTCCAACGTTTCGGCCGTTGTACGCTCCAGCCTTCTTCAGGTGGTTGGAATTTCGAACTGAACCCTTTATTTCGCTCACAGGGGTAGACTGTTCTGTTCATACAACTTATTATTACTGCCTTGAAAAAGTCCATATTGGACGAAACGCGTCGGCAAAAAAAACAGCTTTTCTATTGTCTTTTAACTTTATACACAACTTATTATGTTAGCTCTATCATTGATGTGGAACGCTTTCCATAAGTACCGCGCATATAAAACACACACACACACACATATATATATATTTATATATATATATATATAAAATGTGTATATATAAAAAGAAATTACTAAACATAAGATCAGAAATAATTTCCAAATGCAGACATGAAAACAAATACCTATTATCACAATTTATGTTAACAGATAAAAACGCCAACCATTACTACTGCATCACAATTACCATTGCCACAATTACTCATTTGCCACAATTACACATTTACCACAATTATACATATTTCCCCCAGCAAAATTAATACCACCGCATAAATACTAATAAGTATTATAAATTGGAGTTTCTACCATTTTCATCATTTCCAATCTCCAAAAACAAATAAATAACCAGCTTTAAAATAATGACAAAACAGCATTAAAAAGAAATTAAAAATAATAGGACTTTTACCTACCATAATCTTACACAGACCCCATTACAAACAAAGAAAGAAAGAAAGTAAGAAAACAGACGGATAGAAGATGTGTGAACGCGTATGCATGCGTATGTACGTGTGTGCGAGAAAACATTATTCGGCGAAGAAAATAGACGAACGCTCTACGCGTTGACACCGCAACTGACGAAAGATTTTTCGCTACACAATCCAACATTGAATACAACGACCAAATGCGTACGTATGTACGCAACGACACATGGAAGCGTATATACGCCCGGTCCCAAACTGTTCATATATGTTTACGTTTGTCTGTGCTCCAGTGAGTGAGCGTGTGTGCATGTATGTCTGCGTACGCCAATAAGTGAACGTGTGTGTATGGATGTTTGCGTATGTATGAGTGGCGTTCCGACGAAAATTTTTCCTCTCACTTCCATAAAAACACCGATATACGCAACCTTATATAAATCCAAAATTAAAAAATTAATCAGTTTGTCTGATCATCGCAAACAGCATGAAACCCAGGGTCACAAACACACACCAATCCAAATATTTGGAAATATGGCTCTTTTCGTTTCTACCTGCCTGTCTGTCTGTGTGTCTCTTTCACACACACACACACACACACACACACACACACACACACACACACACACACACACACACATATATGGGTGTATGCATGTCTGCTAAAGCATTGTAATGATGCTTCGTGCCTGTTTGGAAATGGATTCTCTATTTGTTGTTCGAAAAGTGACGGGGGAGGGGGACGCATACACCATTCTGTACGCAAACAACAATATATGTCGTATGTAGGCCCTCACAACTATCATTTTCCGGGGCAGGTTCACATGTCATTTATCGGGAGAAAGGGAAATTACACAACACATTAACAATCACCAAAGAACTATATATATATATATAAAAAAAAACTAAAAAAACTGGTCTCAAACAATCCGAAGCACTACCAAATTTGCGAAGAGTTTTTCACATTTTCCTAAAAAATATTCATAAATTTCATCGGCTTAAAATGTTTATTCTTTTTAATAAGGTTGTTGACAAGAAAAAATTATGACCAAAATATGCTGAACATTCTCGAAACCTCTCCCTCTCACCTAAACAAACACACACACACACACACACACACACACACACACACACACACACATATATATATATATATAATTTATAAACAGGGATCATATCATTCATATACATCTTCGGGGTTGGAGTATGTTATTGATATTGTTTGCGAAGATGTATTCTCGCCATTTAAATCATTAGCCTCTACATTTGTTTTTTTTTATGAATGATTCATGAATTTATATATATATATATATATATATATATATATATATATATATATATATATATATATATTGTCCAAACACTTTCTATGGAAGAAGCGATAGGTCAGCGAGAGGCTTACTACATCCCGCCTATGAGAGAGTCTTTGGAAGGTGGAAAATAATTCGTCACCGAAAGGTACTCCGTGACGTTTTTGTACTCCATCGAGACTGGAAAGCGAAGACGGGGCAGCTTCCGCCCAAATACGACAAGAGTATTCCATTTTCAGCCTGAACTGGTAAAGCTAGACGATAGCATGAGGAGTCAGGTACTTATTGGTGCGGTTCAGTGATCTGACAGTTTTATCTGCATCTTCAGCGATGGATCGTAGGTAAGAGTTCCACCTGAAGTCAGGAGAGAGTTGAGGGTCCAATAGCCTCTCAAGGCATGGTGCCTCCCCGAGGGGATATCAGTTCATCGTGACTGGCCGTAGTTCAGAGTCCGCTTGGCGGTGATGTTTGATTTAGTTATTCACACATTGAGAAATCAAGCACTTACTAGTGCTGTACAAGAGTCAACCATTTTACGTGTATCTTTAGTGTTGAAACTTGACTAATGCATGGAATAATAATGCAACACAAAATGTACTTAGAACAAAATGTATTGAAACAAGAAAGTGTACACAATATTTACATATAGACTTTTGTATATTCCTGGGAAGACCGTTCCTGCAGAAAGTGTTGACTTAGTCGCAGTCGGGCAGAGTCTCTGGATTGAATCTCTTGATTCCTCCCTCGCTTCCCGGTACCAACCATATTTATATGGTCGGTACTCCACTATGGAAATTAGGTGGATCCTACCGCAACATTTAGTGACAGGGTTAAAACAATTCTTCATGCTATAAAAAAGCTACATATTCAAACAAAAACATCCTTGATAATGGCTAGCTGATTAGCCGAAAGCGGTTGCCTTCAGAAATCATTTCGACAGTTATTACACAATGTCGAAAAATAAATCACTTGTACACATGCAAGCAAAATACGTATGTCACGCAGGTCCCTCGTATTTGAGGACATCGGTCTAATAGGGAGGCTAACCGATCCCTATTGCAGACGGTGGCTCAGGCGCATTCGTGTTTATTCAACACCCACAGTGTCTAACTATGGTTTATACTGCAACTATACTGAGCAGACCATTTCTGGGAAAGAGTGTGTAATCTAGCGTGATCAACAGTTTGAAGAAGGGCAGCACACTGAAGCCCTCGGCCACGCTGACTTGTGACTTTGTACTGTCAACGGACCCCAAGGGTTTCGTCTACATAATTTCACTCAAAAGTCTTCCACGTTGGGATTGATCCCTTCATTCCAAAAACTTCCAGAAGTCTCCTTCCTGACAAATCTACCATGGTGTGATTCGAACCAGGGGCTTCTGTTCAGAATGCGAACGATTCTAACCACTCGGCCACGTGCTCATAAGCAAAAATATAACAGAAGCGTGCAGTCTGATATATATATATATATATATATATATATATATATAGATAGATAGATAGATATATAGCATTTATCACAAAGAAACACTCTATCTTAAAATAATTTACACACACACACACACACACACACACACACATATATATATATATATATATATATATATATATATATATATATATATATATATATCAAAAAAAGATATAGTAGTTCTAACGAGAAAGGTGTGTCTGTTAAAAGAAGAGAAAAACATAAACGGTTTTGGTTGTAATGTGGATTATATATATATATATATATATATATATATATATATATATATAAAACAATCTACCGAAGAAAGAAACGGAAAAATACTGGTGGAAGATATGCTTCTTCTTAGTAAATTACGAATTGAAAGCGACATGTTCATCCAAGCGTGTACGGCATAAATGGCTGACTAATATTAATGGGGAAAAGTGCTGAATATCAT